GGATCTGGGTGAGGCCCACGCAGTGGTAAAGGGACGGGGAGATGACGCACTCTGCCCACAGGCCTCGGGAGCTCAGCTCGTCCATGCGGACGCAGGTGGCCTTGGTGTAGTCGCAGGTCCGGATCCAGTCGTTGGTGGCCGTGGCCACAATCACCCCCACCCAGCCCACTCCACTGGCCGCGGTGCCAAGGAGTTGCCTGCGCATCTGTGACATGGTGAGCCTCCGTGCGTTTTTAAGCGCCCCAAAAAATAAAGATAAAAATAAAGAAATTCAGCCTGTTTTTAAATTCAGAAACGTGGCAGCTTCTTGAGAGCTTTCTTCTTTTTTAACGTCTGCTGGAGTTTAAAAAGCCAGACTTGGTTTTAGCGAAAGTTTAAAAATTAAAAATTTTATAGGCCAAAGACTCAAAAAGAGTTTAAAAGCAGATAAATGACTGTGTTATTGTCGAATAAGCAACAAAACAGCGGAAAACAAACTGATATATATTCAGAAATAACTGCAGATAGTTTTTCTCTGATTTAAACAACGTTTAAAAAGCCTAAAAGTCTAAATTTAAAAGCAGTCCTGTTCCGTCAGTGCGCCTGAAGCTGATCCACGAGAAAAATGCCCAGAATAAGATTTATCACAGGGTGTGGTGAAAATCGTACTCCTCTCCAAAGCCAATGGGAGCACATGTGAGATCCTAACCTAAACCAGATACGGGGAGAAAGGCAGGCTCAGACAGAAAAACAAGCATCACCTAAAGCCTCCCTGATGAGCTCTGAGACCTGAAATCAAAGTTTAGCTCATAACGTCCAGATTTGTCCTCATGTGTCACCTGCACCTCTGTTGCCCTCTGCTGGTGGTCCCGCAGTCCCATCAGCAGCACCAAAATGTGCTCAGGTCCACTTAGTTTGGGACATCCTACCAGAAATGTTCAGTGAATGAGACGTCTTAAAGTAAAGCAAAGGTCTTAAAGTATATGGAAGTTCTCAGGTGCTTTCTTAAAAACATTAAAAATATTAATATTAATATTTTAAAATACAATTAAATCTAAACAAAAAAGTTGTCATTATTCACACCAGTTGATTAAAAATAAGGATTCACAACTAAATATTAGAAGAAAAAAACCCTCTTTTTTATTATCATTTTAAACCAATGATTTGATGAAGGTGATTTTCAGCCTGGGTTTGCATTTCCTGTATGACTGGACCGTTTCCCAGTAAAGAATGAAATATATAATATAAAAATCCAATAAAATATAAAAGTTTTCCAAACCTTAACATCTGATTGAAAACGATTCCTGTGTTTGTCCTGTTCTCAGCCAACGCGACGCCACGATCCTTCAGTAATGTTGAGGTCTGGACTCTGGGGAGGCCAATCCATGAATGATGCTGTTCCACTGTGTGTTTTTCTGTCCAATATAATACGCCACTTGATTGATCTCTATTACTATTGGTTATTTATTTTATTTTACTTTAAGTTATTACAAATTGGACAGAAAATTAAACAGAAAGAAAGAAAGAAGGAAAGAAGGAAAGAAGGAAAGGAAGAAAGAAGGAAAGAAAAAAGGAAAGAAAGAAAGAAAGAAGGAAAGAAAGAAAGTAGGAAAGAAAGAAGGAAAAAAAGAAAGTAGGAAAGATGGAAAGAAAGAAGGAAAGAAAAAAGGAAAGAAAGAAAGAAGGAAAGAAAGAAGGAAAGAAAGAAGGAAAGAAAGAAAGTAGGAAAGAAAGAAGGAAAAAAAGAAGGAAAGAAGGAAAGAAAGAAGGAAAGAAGGAAAGAAAGAAGGAAAGAAGGAAAGAAAGAAGGAAAAAAAGAAGGAAAGAAGGAAAGAAAGAAGGAAAGAAGGAAAGAAAGAAAGTAGAAAAGAAGGAAAGAAAAAAGGAAAGAAAGAAAGAAAGAAGGAAAGAAAGAAGGAAAGAAGGAAAGAAAGAAGGAAAGAAAGAAAGTAGGAAAGAAAGAAGGAAAAAAAGAAGGAAAGAAGGAAAGAAAGAAAGTAGGAAAGAAAGAAGGAAAGAAAGAAGGAAAGAAGGAAAGAAAGAAAAAAGGAAAGAAAGAAAGAAAGGAAATAAAGAAGGAAAGAAAGAAAGAA